TCGAACCTCTACACATCAAGACAGGATGACCGGATGTTCTCTTTTTCCTGGACATGTCCTACTTTTCATACCTAAAAAAATGTCCATGGGGCATTTCAAAATCTTCCGGGACTTTGGTCGACTACAGTGCAGGACGTAGTCTAAAACACACCGTGCACTCAATCCGTCAGCCCCCCCCCCCCCCCCCCCCCCCCAAAAAAAAGTGTCCACCTTTTCAGAAACCCTACATTAATATGAAGGAGTAAGATACTCTGCATAATAAAAGGCTCCACCCATCCTGCACACAGACTGTTCCAGCCCCTTCCTGCAGGTGGCTGAGGAGCGTCTAGAGCAAAACCACCAGGCTCAGAAGCAGTTTCTCCTCTTGCTAGACTGCTACTCAAGCTGCACTTAATTCAGCTCCACCAATTTTTTTTTTTTTTTTTTTTTCTTAAATACTATCCTCATTGAACTGGGACTTTAGTCCAAAATTCATACCAAAACATACAAATGTGAGATGTTATGATAATAAAACATTGAATCCTTAAAACATTCAAGAACTTCCCTTGAAACAATTCGTATCCTGTACCATAAAGTACTAATTAGGGGATGCAAGACATTTTCTTTAAGTGAAGATAATACTATTACACTCATTTATGCTTGCCTGTATGATTTTATTTAAATACCATAAAACAGTGGTGTCTTAACTCTTAATTATTGTATCCTGAGAATGTCTAACTTACCTGAGGGTTGCAGCAGTTATAGACTTTCAACAAACAGCTAGTGCCTAATCCAGGATATAATTATACAGTATTGACCCTTTGATTCCTTTCTCAGAAGCAACAGATGCAAGCCACCTGAAAACTATAGTGACCATTATATTCCACATTTCAAATCACCAAAATAAGTTGATAAAACAAAAACAAAACAACTTGGACTTGTCATAAGGTAAAAACTTTGAAAATGACTTCATTGTTTATTTTTTCATTCCAAGAGTAGTGAACATGAGTGACAGTAATGTTGATGTTACAGCAATTTGAGCATTTATAACAGCAAATCATTTATAACTGTCACAAAAAAAGTGTAGAAAGAATATGCAATATTTGCTTTGGAAAATAACTGCAGAGAAATAATGTCCAGTCATAGAGGGGGGAATGTGGAAGGTACTCACCAGATTGAGCACCGTTTCCACGATATCTCGGTTGGAAACCTCGCCGACCTGAATGAGTCCAATGAGAACAGCAAATTTCATCTTGATATTCCGGATGGGAACCGCAGGGTTGATCATTCCACCCGGTAAAAGCACTGAACCTGAGCCGGACATGATCGGGCGCTTCTCGGTGGCAGCAGAGGAGAGCGCAGCTCCGCGCTGTCCGTGACCTGGAGGAGGCTGACGGTCCGAGCCGCGCATTGGCACCGGGTTCTCGCTTGGCATCTCCATGCAAACCCAGAGGTTGCAAAAAAGACTGATCTGATCAGAGCTTTCTTAGTGGTACTTAATTACCCTGCTGCAATAAAGCGTTAAAGAAAAAAAAGAGAGAGAGAGGGATAGACTTAACAGACTTAAGAAAAAATGGGGGGAAAACAGAAGCAAAACCCCAAAAGAGGCATCTTTCTCCGAGAAGAAATCAAATGTGGAGAGTTCGGCTGTGGTTTTGTTTTTTGTTGGTAGCAGCAGGTTAAGCGAGCTGACTGACCTGCGCTGTGAACACAAAGCTGTGTGACTATGTGCGGCTCTTTTGGATTCTCCGCAGCTGTTGCCATGTTGGCGCCCCCTGGCGGTTCAGCACCATCACTGGGTGCTCCATGGAGCGCATCCGAACAGCTCCAGAACTGGAGCAGAGAGGATACAATTAGAGAAGCATTTATAGCTATACTATAACTTTACTGAATAATAACCCTAGGTTCAGGGGCGTAGCCAGAAAACTTTTATAAGGGTAGCCTGGCAGTAGCCAATGTACACTGAGGGGTGGCCGAAAGTGGGTCAGCGCCAGAGCCTCAGGGTCAATCTACACTGTTCCAACAGGAAAATTAATGAGCAAAAAATCCATATTTTCTACATAAAGACAACCTATACTTTCCTACAGCCTTTGCTTACAAAAATATATTTAAGCATCTGTGCTTTCTAAACAAACGGTACAGTGGATAAAATTCTTTCACTTTGGAGTTCTGGGGTGTAAATCTTTTCCAGTGTGATTAGTTACCTATTTGTATTAATAAACATTCTGCATACATTTGATAGTTGCAAGCACTAATGTCTGCATAAATTAATTATTTTATAAATTTTTATTAAAATTGTTATTTATCTATGACTTCACTGAAGACTCCTAGATGACTTGCAGAGACACGTTTTCTCTTTACCCTATATAACACAAAATCTCGTTCTGAAAAGAGCATAAGTTCCGTACTTATCATCTTTGATGTACTTATCATCTTTGAAAATTAAAATGATTTGAATATTCCACTTGGTAGTATTACTGCTGTCACTATCTGTATTAGAGGGAGTAAAAATGGTAGGGGTGGCCACAGGGGTGGCCAATGTTTGGCTATGGGTGGCCATGGCCACCCCTGGCCCCCCATCTAGCTCTGCCCCTGCCTGGGTTTGATTTAAATTAGGCATTTTGGATTACATTTTTAGAACATGTGAAAAAATGATAGCTTCCTAATAATATAAAAAAAAAAAAAAAAAAACATAAAAATTATCTTGGTGCAGGTAACGCCTCTGCTTTTCGAAAATTTCTTCATTAGATGGTTGAAATTTGAATGTTGTTTGATACTCAAACTAGTGTTCATAACTTTTTTTACTGACCTGCACATGTTTTCTTCAACACGCTCATCTGATCTATCTGAGGGTTTAAAACAGGGATCGGCATCCCTAAAAGGTCTGTCTGAGTAAAGGTTAGTTAAAGCTGCACATTTTAACATTTTAATTAAATAGCTATATATTTTTTTTAGTTTTCAGTGTTTTTTTTTTTATCTGATAGAGGAAACCTGTTGCTATTTCAAACAACCAGCAGTTTATATGCCATTTTAGCTTTTACATAAGGAAAAAAATAAAACGTTTCATAAAGATGAACCATGGATTTTTTTTCCCCATAGGATATCATCTGATATTAAAAAGAAGTTCCATGCTAATGATAAGAAACTCTGGATCGAAAGACATACTGTATCTCTGTTTTCTTTGTCTGTCTGTCCTAAAAATTCAATTACATAGTCTTACAAATAAAACAAAACAAAAACTACGGGTAGCATTCCTTAACATACTACATTAGTTGCTATTTTAATAATGTTTCCAATTCTAAGAATCATAGCAGTTACAAAAAGCCACTTGAGGTTCCAGAGCTGCAGGACGCAGACATCTGGTTTAAAAGAACTGTATTTACAAGGAACAAGGATAAGGGAGGCTTAACACAAATGCAACAAGTTTTTGGTATTTATTTGTTAAATGGTCTGAAACATTGCATCCCTTTCCATACATTTAAAAAAAAGCATATGATTTTAGATCTGTCTATCACATAAAATCCCAATAAAAACATATGGGACCTCTATCGATCTGCAGCTATGCAGACTGTTAGCATATTAAATGAAAAGTGATGCATTTTAGTGCATTACACTTGTAACCTCATTATTACGCAAATCAAACTATAAACTTTATGTATTTTAAACAAATGCACTCATTAGTATTAATTTTAAGTAAGAACACTTTATTAATTCCAAATACCTGACAACTTTGTATTTTTTTTTTATAAATAAGCTACAGTATATACAAATTTTACACAATGTACATTCATTAATATTTAATGAATGTGCATTATGTAAGGTTTATTTAATAGGTTTGTGTTATAATTGTCTTAAAAATTGGAAGTTTATGTAATGAAATTACACAAAACTTTAAATTTTGGGTGAATATATCTGTAAGTGTATCACAGTGGAACCTGTAGTTACACTTTAAAGTAATTGATCATTTGGACCAGATCACATAGGGCTGCTTTAAATTTTCCCATCCGCTTTAAAGCAAAACACATTGCTCCGTTAACACAGTTATAAAACTAAAATATATTGTTGTTTTATTATTATTTAATGCCACGTTATTAAGCTGACCTTTGTGTTTAGAAGAGAAAGTTGTTTTCAAGAATTTAAGATTTACCATTTTTCAGCAAAGTAATGCAAAGAACATTAATTTCAGGTAATTTAACTAACTTATTATAGATTATATTTACTAGAGAAAACAGGGTTGAGGTCTAACGAAATGGAATTTGAATACATTACTGAACTTCATGCTACATTTGATTATTGATAAAAAACAATATCTGATCATCATTGGAAAATTAAAAAGGAAACAATTTAATTCTCTGACGTATAAGTTTTGATCATTGTTCCATTTATAACAACTCTTCCAAGATTAGATGTTTCTTGATGTTGTTTGGCTTTCCACCTAAAACATGCAAAGATCACCATCAGTTATTTAGAATCAAAGATTACATCAAAATTTTTTCATTTAAAAAAACCCTTTTAGACCTAAAATATTAAAATTATTAAATATAATAGTCATGCATACTTCTCCATTAATAACAGATTTATTACTCATACAATAAGTGTTTGGTGTGTTTCAGTCAAATGACCAGCAGAGGTCCTCCTAAGTCTGGAGCTGAGGTAATTTCTTTAGTCTTAGAAGTTCATTTGTTGGAATTTTGTTTCTCACACTGTTAAGATAGTATTCAGCTCTACCAAATGTATTATTTCATTGGCATGCTTGCCAAAGCTTTCACAGGTCAACACAGTGAACAAAAAATATATACATCATATAGAATATATATGCAGGCTTCAAGCTAAAAATTATTTAACCCTTTTCAAGGCAATACAGCCTCCAGAAACATTCTCCTTTCACCTATTTTGGGTTCAGATTTTTAGTTACCTATAGATTTAAAGGCACTATTAAAGGTTATGAAACATTATATTGAAAAAATATTGAAAAATCTTGCATCTGCAGTAGCAAGATTCAGAGAAAAAACCCACAAATATTTCATAATAAAGGTAGTTTATTTAAACAAAGAAAAAAAAAACTGTGTCTTGTGTCTGACCGTATAAGTCAGTACCATAAAGCAGGTGTGAACAAGTCAAACCTTCAGTCATTATTTTCCACAACTATTGGAGGTCAGCGTGTGATAAAATTACACATATTCAAAAATGTCATTACATGACAAAGGTAAAACCAGCTTACAATCTTGTACCATGTGAATTAAAAGAAGGCTGACCATGTAAGAATCAATATGCATGAAATTAACATAAGAATATACTATTTACCTGTTTTCATATGTACAGAATTTACAATCTGTCTTTATTTACAGAATATAATAATATACACTAATACACAAACACCTGTGTGTAAAAAATTACATTATATTTAAAACGGAACTGATTAATGTATGCTTCTCAGAAGCCTTCAAGAGGTTGAATGTCCTGGACATTGTAAATAATAGCAATAATAACAATTACACATATTATTGAAATAATATTAATTAATTCATAAAATGCAGGTAAAATAAAATTAAGACATGAAAGCCTAGACAATATAAATAATTTCTAAATGAGTTATGCTTAGCACCTAAAAATAACCTCCTGTGCAAGTGGAAAGACTTGAACTGTTTTCAGAGATCTTTTACCAATGCAAATGTGCTTTTGTTTAAGGACGCTGACCTCATCTCTCTGCTTACATGTTAGGCTTTTAGCAATATTTCGACAGTTCAGTCCAGATCTCTAGATTCACTTGACATAACAGTGTCAGATTTTGGTTTCAGGTCCATCTGTGATCAGTGGTTGAAAGGAGTTGCGGATTCTTGCAGCCTCTGCAGCACAAAGATGACCAAATGCTTTGTTGTACCAATCTGGAGTTCTTCCCCTGTAATGAAAACCATAGTATTAATAAAAACATGCATGTTAGAAAAAAAAAAAAAAAAAAAAAGCAAGTACAGCTTATGCTTTAAAATCCTCAAAATCCTATGTGAGATTCAGAATTACTTTAAGTCCACTCTGCAGATATGAGTTAGCCGTGACTTTCCAGAGCCGCAGGGTTCCAGAAGGTAGTTTGACTCTAGGATCATAGCTCGAACTCCTCCTATTAGAGAGCAGTCGTCATGCTCTATGGATACAGAAACCAATGAGCAAGCTCCCTTTGGCAAGTCTGTCCTCCAAGACCTTTCCAGAAAATAGAAAACAGAGTAGGAGCAGAAAAATGATATTAAAGTCTCTTTAAATAAAATATTGTTGTTGTTTTTTTCTTTTTCTTTTTAGTTTTACAAACCTGAGAACTACAAAGTCCCTGCTGGGATGAGGGGGCATACGGCTGAGGACATACTGAAACACCTCTGTTTGTTTATCAAGAGTCTCACACACTTTCCACTGAATCAGGTCCATGTCCCACATGTGGCGTTCCCTCAGTACGCGGTTTAACACCACCGATGGTGGTGCTTCCACTTCCACAGACACTCTCCAACGTCTTAAAGGGTTTCCATCCCCCACCTAAAAAAAAAGAGCAATTAACACATTAACTTAAAATTGTTCTGGAGATTTTGTTAAGGCAACCACTGCATTTGGAGTGTCTAAATTTCCATCTTGCCACTTCATAACCATATTTTATTGGAGCACAATGGAATTGTATCTCTTACAACTTCAATTTTATACCCATAAACAAACAATTTTATATTATTAATAAAATATTATCAGATTATTTTCTTGACATATTTCCAAATATTATATAACTTAATCGACTTGTATCATTCAGAAATAGCATTATTTACACACAGCAAAAACAATATCGAAAAAAAGTAAAAAAAAAAAATCTTAAATTAAGTGTATTTACCCTTAACTTGAGTAGGTAAATACGATGATTTGTGAATGGAATTATTATTTCTACTCTTAAAATAAGATAAATAGATAATATGCACTTGAAATAAGACTATGCAATAGTTGTTTTCTGATTTCAAATGTAAATGTATAGTTATTTCGAGAAAAAATGACCTTTTTAGATTTCAAGTTTTTGCAGTGGATTTGTTTGGTTTTGATCCCATGTATATCAGTTGGTTCTAATTTGGTATAATTTTGGTATGACCAGGGATGATCAAACCGAAATAAGTCTAAGAAGACTTATAGTAGAATAAAGTAATCGTAGAATTTTCAAGTGATCGGTCACTTTCAGCTGATTATTGTGAAGGCCACTGATTTAAAAGCACTGGTCATCAAGTTGTTGATTCATTTTTTTTCTGAGCGGACATGCATTTTTTATCTGAACTTGGTCCATGTTTGTTTTGGTCAGAGTGCCCAAAATAGGGGGACAAATCACCTGGACAACAGAGGTAAGGGGAGACAGTGTGGCAGAGCTGAGAATGTCACTGCTGGTCCTTGTCTACGCTGTGGGTATGATGGTGAAACGGTCCTTCTAAAGCTACATTAAAGCTTTTTTTTATTTCATTAAGTCACCCACAAACCTCTTAAAAAAGCATTCCCATGTCATCCTTTGTTAAAATTATTTCTCTGTCTTCCATTTTTATTTTTTTAAAAAGCTCATCTCTGGGGCCTCATACACTAAAACAATGGTTCATTCATAATACTTTCTCATCTCCTTTCATTTTAATTCCTAATAATACAATATCAATATGCTTTGCATGATGCAGCAGTAGAAGAATTTATGGATTTGATGCTGTGATCGTGATCAGCTCGCAAATTCCTAACACATCTAACTAATCCTAGCATGTCTACCTCTAAGCAACATTGGGCTGCACATATTTGTTCAAGAAAATTGTATTCACAGATTTTCATGCAGTTGGCCAAGAAAATTAGTTTCAAATGTTCCCCCGTTGGGTATGAAACAACCAAAAGCAGACAGGTTTCATTTTGGATCCAGAAAAGTGGAATATGAAACTACAGAGGCAGGGAAAGCAGAAGGAGCAAACTGAACAGTGACCCAAGTTAAGTCCAAAGATAGAAAAAAAATAAGAGCACCAACCTTTTTGTAGTAGAGCTCAGTGTTATCAGAACTATTGCATGAGACCCAGTATTTGGACTTTTCTCTGGCCTCTTTAAGGAAATTTTGAAGTCTCCGGTCCAAATGTGTTTGATAGATCCCATCACCCTCATCTATCCGTCTGCAAAGCTCATCGATCGTCGGGGCATGCAAGTCAGCCTCCACATAGGAATTGCGCGACTGAGTAACCATTTCATGCGGGACCTGATAGGTAAACCAAATAATAGGTGAGACTAGATGCAGATAAATATAAGTTAAGGTGTTGATTCTAGGCATAAAATGCCTGCAATTTTCAATTACTGGTTCTACCTCAAAGAGCCGATTGCACTCCATGATCATATGAGCAAGGCCCTGTGCTGCAGCTAAGTTTTCATTCAGGTCCTTCTGGTCCGGTCTGCCTGTGGCATACCTTTTCTGCATGGCCCTAGAGATGATGGAGAGAGAAAAGATGTTCAGGACTGCAAAGTTTTCAAAACAGCTTCCCAAATAAATAAAGTGTAGACCCCTATTGGAAAACCCTTGATTTGTTTATACACAGCACAAAATCTCAATACTGCCAGCATAAAAAGAGTAATAACTCTAGTAAATGCGTACCAAGAGAGTAATCTAAAGCAGCCTGAAGGGATACGTAAAATCTGTTGTGCACTTCATGCCAAACTGTATACAGTCATAGTAAACATGAGATGACAGAATGTAGGAAAACTGTAAATGATATAGTTTTTGGTAGAGAAGGTCAATTCACAAATAGGATATAATGCAATAATGGCAGAGAAATTACTTTGGTGACAGATTGTCCTTCTTCATAATATTGAGGTGAAACAGGGAAGGTGCTAGACACACTGCAATGTTCATGGGTGTCATCTGGTTTTCCTCCACGGAGGAAGTGACGTCACTGAGAAAACAGAGGAGCGTTTGCAGCACCTCTCGGTTTTCATCCGGCATCAACATTATGGCTGCTTGGGCAGCTTGCAACCTTTGGTCCTTTGGTACATCTACACATAAAAAACACAATATTTTATATTTCTGTTGATCTAGTTTAACAGTGTGGAATGAAAGATAAAATAATGGTTTCCAACAGAGACAGTTATGCTTACACTGGTATATGTGAAGGAAAGTCTCCCCTAGTTTACTGGTGAGCAAGGGTTCAGGTAGATCCCTGAAGAACTGCTTCACCATGTCAGCCACATCATAGGCAGACTGGTCCTCATAGTTTACATTATCTGGAGAACTTTCATTCATCTGTCTTAAAGCATGAATTCGGGACTTCACCCCAGATTTTCGAAACAGACCCACCTGGAAGACAGAGAGGGAGATCATTTAGCAAAGAGGCAGAGGGCAGTAGCAGGCATATCATTTCCTCCCAGCATCATATAAAAGTACAGCTCAAATCAATGGAATATCACAAAAACGTTTATTCAATTTAGCACTTTAACAAATAAGAAAATCATATACTTAAGATTCACTAAAAACATAATACTAAATTTTAAGCTGAAAAGAACCCAAACTTTGCTTAATCAGAAAATTAAATAGCTACATAAGACAACTGTAACAAATAGATCAGAACATAAAGGTTAGGGTCATATTAAGGTAATAATCTAAGCCAGCAAAAATGTTAATGCTAAAGAGATTTCAAGGAGTTCTGTATCCAGACATATTATTAAAAATCTGATTGGGAGAAAAAATTATGGAGGAACCACCTGCATATGTAACAAAGATGACTGGGACCTTGAGTGGATTGTAAAACAAATCCTCTTCATGGTTTGATGGAGATCCACCAATAGTGGAGTGAAACTGTAATGCTACGCCAGCCAACAATAGATGTGTCCTGGACACAAGTTACAACTGTGATCTTTAATGTGGTAGGCAACTTCTGCAGCAGAGATAAAAGAAGCATCCTAAGAGGGAAACAAAAGTACTGGACTTTCCTAAATCCTCATTTGAAATAAAACTACATTTCTCACTTCGGTATCTACGTTCAGTATCCGTATTTCAGTATCTACGGTCCAGTTTTAAATTTTCCTCAGTAAGTGAGAACTTCTGAGATACATGCATGTCATCTGCAAAGTATGTCTTATAAACTCCTAACTTAATGCAGACGTACACCAGAACAATTCTTTTAGATATGTATCCCCCTAACATGCCATTGATGCTTCCTGTTGTGGAGATGCTAATGATATATATATATTTTTGGTATCACTATGCATGACTGACTAGCAAATTTTCCAAAAACTAATAAAAAAATCTATATACTACAGTCAAGAAAAAGAAAATGGGGGCTCAGAGCTAACACGGCAGATGAGCTGGAGAGACCTTCACCTCTTTACTACCACAGTCTCCTGCACTCCACCCTGCGCTGATGCAAATGATCACCATTCAAGTTCAATCGCTAAATATTTTACAGTACATGGACATACTGCTCAGTAATTGTTACACTACATAAAGAATGTAGAGTTTTGAGGCGACTCACCTGGTCAAGACACTGACTTCGCAGGTATTTCAATGCCTGCTGTAGGCCAAGTGGCAAGGGCTGCCCAGAGCGCTGCACGTTCACTATGAGTGGTACTCCAAACACATTCTTGTCTTTATAGTCCGGTACCTTCATTCTCTTCATAAATTTTGGCACAGACCTACAAACATTAAAAATTATTATTAATGAATAACAATTTATGGTAAATAATACACGCAAAACAGAAAGTTATTTGACAAGAAATAGTAATAAAAGAAGGGGACGGCAAATATTCAAACCACCAAACTTCTTTAGACAAACAAGTACATGTTTGGAATATTTTGAGAAAATAGAGGGTTACTTCTTTCCATCTGATTAAAATGATGTCATGCATTACTGTTGTCATTGTATCCTTTCAGTCACACTTACCATGTCCAGCCATGCTTGTTTGGCATGGAATATTTTTCCATGATTGCTGTAAGACGAAGAAGAGAAAACTTCTGCAACAAACTCAGCTGGCCTGCTGACTGGTTTGTAATCTGTAGTGATGTCATTGAGTGACTTATGCGATTGGATATCTGAAAGCTTGGCCATCGTAACCTAATGAGAAAAAAAGTGTGTTGGTTTCATAAAAAGTGAAGCTGGATTTTTGTATTATTAAGTGATCAAGTTCAATCTTACCTGTTTGGCCTGGTTAGTGAAGCACCGACTCCAGAATCCCTCCTTTCCCTGAACCTTGTAGATTCTGTCTCAGTTAGAGAAACTTTATCTCTGTCTCCATCCCCAGGAGTAGTCTGGCTTTCTGCAACTGAGTTTTCCTCAAAGTCCAACGTGATCTGACTTGAGGACTGTAGCTGTACCGTATCTTCCTTTTCACCATCCACCTGCACTGCCCCGTCTCCTCCAGGTAGTACATTTTTTGACCAGTGGTCCACTATCTGCTGCAGACCATTTACATGTAGCAGTATATCATCCAGGTGAGGAAAGAGGTCTTCTTTCTCCAGGTCTATTAGGTCTCCTGTACTGGCGTACAGGTGTGACCCAGGAACGTTGTCATAGACACTTATTCGGCTACCTCTGGAGCAGCCCTGCTTGTCAGGCCTGGATTCCTGTCTGCATGGAATTAGCGTGGAGTCCAAGTGCATACTTCCTGTGTGCCAGTTAATGGATGCTCCATTAGTTGGGGACAGGCTCTCTATGGATAGTGCTTTAGGAAATGTCCCTGGCTTATGGTCTTTAGGAATGTGGACCACTAGATCTTCATAGGAGCAGAATTCATTTCTCCGGTTTTGTTCTGCAAATTTGTTCATTTGGTTTCCTGAGAAAATATCTAAGTCTTCCAAATACATGCCACTGCGCTTTTGGTCAGCTCGGTGAGGCTTTCGTTCTTTTAAACTGGGTGTGCTGACAGTGCTGCCACTGGAATGACTACTACCCTCACTAGCAGACTGGGGTGGCAAATCTCTGCCAGAAACAAATTCGGGAGCTCCGCTATCTCCATTTATGATTTCGACACAATTAAGTGTCTTCAGCGCCTGAGCCTCCTGCTGCAGGACAGGAGAGCTGATGACCAATGTCTTCCGACCCCTTACTACAGAACCTCTGGATCTTAGTGTCTCCATGCGCTTCAAGAAGTCTTTGGCACGAATGCGGCTGGTCCTTCCTTGTTTATCAGGCAAAGAGTCATAGTGGGTAAACTCTTTGGGGATGTGAGGCATTGTGAGAGAAGTAGAATCTGGCATTGCTGCAGAATCTGAGCAGGTGCGGGTAGAGGAGTCAGAGTCTTCTGTGCTAAGGCCCCTTTGACCGCTCCCCCCGCTGCTTTCACTGTGCAGTGATGAGACCTCAGGCTCACTTAGATCTGTAAGAACACTCTCCCTACTGGTAGTATTGTGCAGAGGTAACCCGTCCTTGGAGGTTTGTCCTTCTCCGTGCTTTCTAAGCAGACAGTCAATGTCCTGTAATCTGGACCAACGCCTGCTACTCCTCTCAAAGGTCCATTTGTCACTAATAGCAAAGAGGTCTTCTTCATCTGAGTCTTCGATCTGGCAACACAAACATAATATCTAATTATACATCATATATTGTATTTTAAAGAAAATTGAACCAAGAAACCATCTGCTTATTCATCAGATAGATATATCAGATAGATATTCTGATTATATTCAGTCTGAATGACTCAAGACTGCTAACAGTCAGTCATGATTTAATTCAGCAAAACTAAGCAAAGTGAGGATAAAGCAAGAACACCACTCTTCCATGTGGAAATTGTAGCTTACATTGAAAACACAATCATTATAAGTTAAAATTACTTAAAATGTTTTATTTTCAATATATAGTAGGATTTTACATTGATAATGCAAGAAATATTTGACAACCTATCACAAATATATATTCACAAACCAATTCACACCCTGATGATGAACAGCTACTAAACATTTGCCACAGATGCCAGACAGAAGTGAGGCTGCCATAGAATTTGCATCACCGTGGAGTGGAGCTCAGACAAGCAACCCATTGATTACAGGACAGACTCCCACCTCCTGAGCAACTGTTGCTTTTGATCACACTGATCATAGTATAAATATTATTTCATAATGGGAAAAGCATTTAAAAAAAAACACCCAATAAGATTTAATTCTCTGTATAAAAACACTGATTAATTTCTGTTTTTCATCAGCACCTGTTACAGTAATTTTAACCAAAAAAGAAAAACTATATTGTATTAAAAAATCAGAAGTAGCACTCACCTTCTTCTTTGGAAGATTGACATCGAGCTTCATAGAAGCACACTTGTTGAGAGTGTTAAGCCGCCTGAAAGAAAAGAATAAAACTCAACTGAACAAACAAAGAAATCTAAATATAGCTTTTGAATGACCTTACCAGAAATAGATTGCCCTTCATTTCTAGGAGCTATTTAAATATTAATTTGATCAGCTTCTGCTGAAGATGCCCAGCCAGACCCCGTAGGGAAACAGATTTGGAAAATATAATGTTTTTACTCTAATAAGCATCAGTAAGTGACATTGATTTGGTTTACTTTCTGTTGAGATAATGGTGACTTAAAGGGCTGTGTGATGTATTTTATGATTAAAAAGATAAAAAAGCTTAAACCACAGTCTGACTCACTCACTCAAAGATATCATTAGTAAATGTGGTGTTTAATACCTTGAAGCCATCCTGTGCACTATTTGCACCTTGGTTGCACAACGAAACTGTATTTTTTTGTTTAGCAAAAATCTGTCCCATGAAAAAAAAAAAAAAAAAATTTCATAAATCCCCAGAACATGCTTTCTTTGTTAACTTTAGTGTAGACCTTTATTGATAGGATGACAAATATAATGTGCCTCTGGAGCCTTTGTTAAATAACCTTTTTAAAATTAGCTACAACTGGAAGCTTTAATGAATTTATTTGGGAGTTTTTATTTGATATTAGCAAAAAGCCGACAGTTATTGTTAAGCTCCCAATGAGAATGTGTTCTGGTCAAACAAAGCCACGGGGCTCAGTCTGACCACAGCACTTTTTTTAACAAGTTTGTTGTATCCTCTAGAAGTTTTGTAGCACACTTCAAGAAGAATATCCAATGAGTTTATCTCAACAATGACAATTTTCTTGCTTCTCTTCTATAAATAATAGATTTGAGGACTGGGGATTTCTCATTCAATACTAAGGAAGCTAAACCTATCCTGAACATTTTGAAATATTATTGGTAAAATATGCATTCTCAAACTTCATAAATTAAACTGCATTAAATATGCACTAAAATGCATCTGATTGATTGAGGATGTCATGCATCTTGAAGCTGGCTGCTGGATGCTGATTGGCAAACATACTTTTGGATTTTTGACTGACAGTGGCCAGACAGTGAGGAGGTTTTCCTCATGGGTTGAGAGGGAAAAGGGATCATTCAGTCAGAACAGTCATCTTTGCTGAACTCTTGCTGTAGTCTGCCATGGAGTTTATTATTTCAGAGCGCCTCACAACAGATATATTCACCCTTTGTACTGTACACTGCAAAAACAATCCAGAAATAAGTAAAAAATGGCTTAAATTAAGTATATTTAGCCTTAATTTGAGTAGATAAATAAGATGATTTGCCAATGGAATGAGTATTTTTACTCTTAAAATAAGATAGTTAGATAATATTTACTTGAAATAAGAGGATAAAATAGTTTTTTCTTATTTTAAAAGGAAATTGTCTTGTTCCATTGGCAAAGTGTCTTACTTACCTCCTCAAATCAAGGAAAAACACACTTATTTTAAGAAAAAATAACTTATTGAGATTTCTATTTTTTGCAGTGTAGTAATGCGTTTTATTGAGGGTTGTGGCGGCCTAATCAGCATAGAGCTGAGGTTCTGAGTTCAATCCCCTCTCCCAGAGACTGCCACTCTGGTTCCCTGACCCATAACCCCACACTCTTCCCCAGGCGCTGCACGATGGCAGCCCTCTGCTCAATAGGGGGATGGTTTGAATGCAGAGTTCATTTCCTTGCTCTCTACTTGTGAAAGTGTAATAACAATAAAAGCTGGGAAAAAGAAAAAAAAATGATTTAATTAACACCTTTGAGCCTCCCCCGTTGCAGAGAGCAGCAGCCGCCACTGGTTTGAAGAGTGCATAACTAATAGCTGCAAAGGCTTTAGCTTTTCCCATCTATGCTCTAGATCTCTGAAGCGCCTTTAGAGTTAAGACATGCTTGTTGACTGCTACTCTAATTAATGCTTCCCTTGCAAAGTCTTTAAGTTATGGTAGACAGCCATATCTTTTTAGTTATTTATTTGCACACTTGGCTAAAGGATCTAGCAGTGCCATTTAAGATATACAACACTTCTCTCTTTTTTTTTTGTGTGTGTGTGTGTGTTTTTTTTCTAAATTGCTTTAAACTTCTACCTAACTATTTACCCCTTTGGTTGCTCTTCACAAGAAACTTCTACTGTTATATCAAATTAAATCCAGATAAAATGCAACAAGGTTTTTGGCTGTGATGAGTGCTTTCAGATATATATCTACTTTTGAAATATACCAGAAATCTTATCACAAAGTAAATGTATAGATTTATCACAAACATTGGAAAAGAAACTTCTGACTTATTGCAGAAAAGGAAAGAAATTGGTGGAAAGATGATCAGAGTTGACTGCTCCAGATTCTTTTTCAGGCACGCTGTGATGGAGGCTTTAGATTAGAGCGGTTATTAAAACAAAATGCTGCCATCATTGTTACTAAAAACAGCTGTAAACAGAAGTAAAGAGAGGATTCCCAAGCAGGGGGCACATTTATTCCACACGCCTAAACAGCTTTATATGTGGCCACTAAAATAAGAGGGCACTTAGTTGGAGATCAGAGGCTGCACTAGCATGTTCAATCAAAGGCATGGATGGTATGCAGCGTGGCATTTATTTTTGCTCCGGCTGTTTGGTGGCATCAATGACTAAAGGACTATTCTTACGTTACCATAACAATGCAGGAAAGTCATGGGCAAAATTACACTGAGGTGGAACTGTTTCTAATTGTCTCCTATTCATCATGTGGCTAGTTTGGAATTTAGATGAGTTGCTTTAGGGTTGTTTAGAGTCCCATTATATTGAGCAGTGCGAGGCACCACTAATGCCTCGCCTACTTCTCTCTTTGGATTGTTTTCATAGCTACTGTAGTTGCTGAACTGCTGTTTTCATTTTAGCCCCGAAATGAATTACATGGGCACTCAAAGCAACGTGGAGTTCGGATTTGACGATATAATTTAATATTCTTCAAAAAGAGTACATCAAGTCAAGCAAAAAAATATAAACCACAAAAATTATTTTCCTGTCTTTATAAAAAGGGATAATTCTTTTTTATACCATGCAACAAACAACTCAATTTCATCATAATCATAAACACATGTAGTATATGCTTAAGCTACTAAATCTTATCATGTTCAGTTAGCATATTTCTTAGCTATATCAGTTTTTAATTAAAACATAAACTTAAGTAAGAGTTGTTGGACCAAAATAAGAATGCTAAAAATTTTGCAAACAGTTTAAGTTAACAAGGCTGGAAAGTCACAATCAGGCTCAAAATCTGAGCGTAATAATGGAGTCAGACTTAACCTTCAAAGGCATAAAAATACCCTAACAAAGTTGACATTCAATCAGCCCAAGAACATTTTCAGGATTAAAGACTAATGTCTCAGCAGATGTTGAAACCCCATTCTTGCATGTATCTATAGTAGAATTGATTACTCTAATCAATCAGACAGCTGCTGCTCGCATCTTCAACTAAGTGGAGATCATCACCTAAGTTTTAAAGTCCTTATCCCCCCATCTCAGAGAACAGACTTTAAAATACTTCTGGTATGCCTTAAATCACTGAATGAACTTGCCTTGCCTTAAAATAAACTCACCTTGCCTTTAACTTTTCCATTTTATAATTTCAGAATTTAGTAAAAGAAAATAAAGCCAAAATGAAGTAATTTTTTTTTATACTACACCACATGTGGCAAAATTACTGGAGCCCTAAAATATTAACCAATAAAATACAGGTAAATTACACACTTTTTAAACTATAGGTATATTGTCCTTGAAAAATTTAGTTAAAGGAAAATTCCGGTTTTTAACACTTTTAGCCCATTTTCCTTTAAGTTTTGTAATGTTAAACTTGCCTTGCTTTAGGTTTAACATGAAATAGTTTATCTTGCCACAGTTGCTTATCTCAGTCACAGCCCACAATGGCCTTGCCACTATGTTCAAAGAGGTGCGCACTTGAAATGTTGCATAAAACAGTGGAATTATGGAGTCATTCACTCTTTATAAAAGTTTAGTGTTCTGTCCTACTATTAAACCTTCTGAGTACACTTATGCTAGGGGGTCCCTCCACTGGCTCCCTGTAGTTCAGGAAATAGACGTTAAAATCCTTCTTATAATCACTGAATGGATCAGCGCCTCAATACATAATAATACATGTATCAACCTCAAAGGCCACTAAGATCTTCTAGTTCAACCCAACTCTGTACACCCAGAACTAGAACCAAACATGGAGAAGCAGTATTTGGTTCCTATGCTCCGCTTATCAGGAAAACAAATTTCCAGAACTGTAAAAGTGCTGAAATGCTGAATTGACTAGTATGTTCAGAACTGCCTTTGACTGATGAATTTAAACTGTTAACTGAGGTATTATTAGTTTAAGGTTGTGATCCAACTGTTTTATTTTCTTCTCTAGCTGCTTGCTTTTAATCTGCTTTTTTTGTTTTAAAAATGTTTTTGCTTTTATTCTGCTTTTATTATTCTTCTATTTTATTATCTAATTTATGTAAAGCACTTTGAATTGCCCATTTATTGAATTGTGCTATACAAATAAAATTGCCTTGCCTTCCTTTAAGTTTAACATGAAACACAGTAGGAATATAGGGAAAAGCTCAAAACTCTCCCCGTGATGCAGGGTGGAGAATCTGTTATTCTATGGGTCTGTTTCTCTTTGAAAGGGTATAAGAATGCTGTTAGATTATATGGCAGCTTGATTCCTTTGAAATACCAGGAAATTAAAAAATAAAGCAGGTTGACTCTAAATAAACAGATTTTTATTTCTTGGAAATTTTTGAGAGGATAAAAAAGAATAAAACTGTCCCTCCTTTATGACCGTTTCACTGAGCTGAATAAATCCTGTAGAAAACCAGTTGGATGTTCTGAAGAAAAAAAAATTGAATAACACAACATAGCCCTAAACAGGAAAATCTAGATAATTTGTAAAAAGTGGAGAGATGTCTCTCTCTTTGCTTTAATCTTGTAAAATGTTAAGACCTTTTCCATGTTTGGAAATGGGGAGCTGTGCGACAAAAAAGAGACTGGGGTAGCAACAATGAAAAATACAGAATAATTATCCTGAAGTAAGATTTAAATGTTAATTTTAATGCTTTTACACACAATATGTATTTAGCTTAACATTAATACAAATCTTCACAAAGAGAGCTAATAAATATAAGCAGCTCTGTATTAATTCCCATATAAAAACCACAAGTAGAAGTTCTTCCATTGGTTCTCATTTTAGCTCCCACTTTCACTTACTTGCACAGAGTTTCCACCAGATCTTTGTCCAGAAAGTCATGATCTCTTTTCACAGGCGTGATGCCAATTGGAAACTGTGAATCTGAAGAAAAAAAGGAAAACAAAGTGGGGAATATTGTTGAAATTCAATTCTCTAAAATTCCTGTGGAACAAAGAATGCATTAAGAAAAATTTCTACAAACAAAATTTGTGCATAGAAGTAGCCTCATTTAAGTGCTGTCACTTGTGCAGGCGCTTGTTACATAACTTAAGAGACTGAATGTATCATTTCACCAAATCATGGGAAGTTAGCCTCATGGAAAACAGAAGCTGCAATGAGCTGGGCTCAACACGGCTTAGCCTGTTCTCGAGGGCAGGAATTTAAATATATTAAAGGCTTTAAGATGTGAAAAATATAAATAATGGATTTATTTATTAATATGGTTTTAAACACATAATATCAGCTTGGAGCAGTTTGCGCTTTGACATGATTATCCATTCCCTCTTTGGAAGTTTTCCTACTTTTTTTTTTAAGCTGTCAAGAAAAATAAAATAGCACCAAGGCACATCAAAAGTCTGGCCTCAACACAGAGATATGTGGGAGTAAAGCCCCTTAAAGCTCTGATAAAACCATTTTCTTCCCATGACTTCAGGCGTCAAGCACTGCAGACATGTTTGTAAAGTAATCGTTGGATCTTGGAGATTAAACTTTTAAAAGGATCCAATGTTCTGTTTGTTTTGTGGTGTCTACAGATGTGTCTGGCGCTCTAGCTTGAAATCATCCCGCAAGCGGCAAATGAATGCTCTATGCAGTGACATAGATAGCGTTGGTAAAAGAGCTGATGACACTGTGCTCACCGATTCACTTCAAAATGTAACTTTCTAATTATTTTATATCACAACAGATTTAAAATGAAAACCGCAGTAGTTGGCAAACTGGGTTATTCCTGTGCTAGTTGATTAATCTCTCGCTTTCAACAAGCAATTCTCCTTCCTGTGATGATGAATTTGTGTAGGAGTTCAGTGAGTGCTTTCATTACCTTCAAAGAGCTGTGCGTACTGGGGAAATCCTGCTGCCCGCAGCCAGTCACACGCCTCCTTTGCTTCGATTTCTGCGAGGCAAGAACAGGGATGAAAAGTGAAAACAAACCACATTGAGAGAGAGATGTTTCTTAATTTAAACAAAACTGCCAAAGCATTAATTAAAAAAAAGAAAATCATTTGGCACCTTTTCCATACAGACGTCACTGTCTTTATCTAAAGGTGCCAAATTACATATTTCTTGTGAGGATCAAATACAGTCTGAAAATGCAATTTAAGAAAATAAAGTACAATCTATTTAAAGAGGTATTTCTGAAAACACTGAGGTTACATATATAGCTCTTAAAAAGGAGGACAAGACCCTACATGAATAGGAAAAAATCTTTTAAGGTCTTTTTGATTCAGCATTTTAATAAATAGTTTAAGGATTTATTTAGAAGATAAATGGGCTTATGTTTTATGTCATATCTATACCATAGGTCAACAGTAACCACTGATTGTAAAAGGGAGTTCTTTTAATAATTTACAAAATAGAAATGACAAAAATGCTTGCCGCGGCATGGTAAATCTGTGAGATTATCTTCGTCACTGTTGAATGAATAAACTTAAGTGAAAAGTCCGATTTTACAAAAAAGGGAAATAGAATAGCACATTCCCCCCCTCAAAAAACAACAAAGATTAACAAATGTTATCTAGATCATGAACCCCCTCTGCTGACCTCTAGAGTGAGCTTTCACCCTGCTTTACAGCAAACGATGGCCTGAGGAGGAAACAGACTGTTGGCACCTTTGCATTAATGCTAATAGTGTTGGTGACTATTTACCGCCTACATGAGACCCGACACATCAGTGTTACATAACAACTGCAACCTAAGAAAGAGAAACTATTAAACAATAAGGTTGACTATTTGAAAAAAAAAGTTGCTTTAAAAACAAGAGAATGCTTAATACCTAATCTATATTATTCAGTATCAGGCATTGTTTCATTCTAAAAACAGGATTGTACTGTTTGGATCAACAACAACACTAGTGTAGGGCTTTTTTCCCCCTGAATATAATTCATTAAGGAGGGGGCTTGATTTCAATCCATTTATCAAACATTTAAGTGTTTTTACAGACCACAACAAATACTGTCGGTACAGGGTGATATAAAGCAATGTTATAATAAACACCAGAAGGCAAAAGCTACAGCAATAATATCTGGTGATGATTCTTATCAGAACCAAGTCACAAAGCTACCAACAATATTCCATTCAAAAAAAATTTTTCTTTGCACAAATGCTTTTCATGAAATGAAGCATCTCTGAATTGTTGACAGACGCACAAACACTGCATTCAAGTTTATCAGCTGACAAACACATCCAAAGCCTCATCTCTAAACACACAGGAGCTGCAATAAACACCACAATCATTTGTTGCACAGTCTCACATCATTAAAGGAAACTATATAAAAGGTCAATACATAGGTTTCAGACTCACCTGCGCTGCTTTGCTTCGATATCATCAAAAAATAAAAGAGCATTATCTTTGGTCTGCAGACTGAGTAACAACTGAATAAATATTAACAGCCGTCTGTGTCCTTGGATGTCTGCTGTTTACCCCTGAACTGGGAGATAAGTCCACATGTGTTTGCTGCCAGGAGACACTCTGCTGTGTCCCCACCTGCGTCAGCACAAGCTAAAGGCTTTGTGCTCTTCTAGACCTCCCTCCCAGGTGAATAATATTAGCTCTTTATTATTCAACTGCAATGCATAGTGAGAGCGTTTTCAGGCTCTCCTGTGTCCTAGGACCTAAGGTTGGACCACTGAGAAACAGTAACACAATCTGGGAATCCCTCTGGTTTGCATTCTGTAACCTAATAGTGAGACATTCTGTCCTCTCATCCTCTCTCTAAGGAAATCTCTCTAGATAAAAGCCTGGGGAGGGCATCGTGCCAAAGAATGAGAAGTTGTGTTTGCTCTTCACAACCTAAAGCTTTAAAGCTGTCTATTGTATAGAATTACTATTTTACAAAGAAATAAAACCCACTTTGGCTGCAACACAATGGAAAAAAATGTCAAAAGCTGCTTGTGGTTGAAGCAAAAGAGGGCAAAGAGTGACGCGTTCCTATGCAATTCAGCTTATGAAACATTCGCTGTAAAGAACACGTTATATAACTCAACAAGTAAATATGGCGTCTGTCAGCTCTTGGTCAAAATTCCCACTTGAGGATTTACACCCTTATATCATCCTATACCTAGATATTTTTTTCTTTTCTATTTCTTGTAAAAAAAAAAAATATATATATATATATGTTTTTCATGTTTATTCAAAGAGCAAGAGAAAAATTGTCAAAAATAGCTTAAATCTATTTAATTGAAATCTTGTATTAAATGCCCGGTGCCCATATAGTGCCACAGACACAATAAGAGCGACAGAGCTGAGGTTCTGCGTCCTATCCCACTCTAGCCTTAACTTATTATATGCATTTGTTTTAGTTCTGCCCATTGACTCTTGTTACAACAACAACAACAACAAAAATAATTAAAACCGCGAGCGGTATTGACGGCCCTCGCAGCTCGCACCGCCTGGTATGTCGCGACCGCGGGAACCAAGCGACCGCTGGCTCCACGCTCCTTCCCAGCCTATTCTCCTGCTCTTCAGCCTATGCCTGCTGCTGCTTCCCCTCATCCTCTTCATCACCCTGTGCTGCTCCTCTTCATCCTCCTCTTTCTCCGCTCGGCCTATCGCGACCGCGGGAGGTGAGTGACCGCTGCCCCCTTGCTCCTTCCCAGCCAGCGGAAAAAGCGCCACGCTTCACTTCTGGACCAGCCGGAGACAACCACAGCTTTGGTCAGGAAGGGTTAAACTAGGGATAAAAGATAATATCTGGGGATGAATCTCATCTGTCAGATATTTGCTGTAGCAATCTCAGTTGGTGGGTCAAAAGTATATATTCAAAAGATGGAGAAACAGCACTGCCAAAACCCACGGTTAGCGGTATTACACCCTACTCAAAACAAAAAAAATCATTAAAAAATCCATAGTTTGCAATAAAATCCCCAAAAAAATCACAAATGTCAAGGAACACATCTTGCATGTCCTAGATTCTTTTTTAGGTGATTTATTAAATAATTCAAAGAAAGAAAAATCTTTAAACGTGAATGCCTTATACTGCGGCAGTTGAAAAATATATCCTGGCATTATCTGTCCACTTGACCAACTATTAGGCAAGAACGCAAACGTTTGAAAGATCAGAGTGACAGACTTTAAAGAAGCGCTTTGCTATTGTAACCAGTTTACAGCAGGCTTTGTAAAGAACATATTTTGAAAGTTTTAGCTCATTTGGATAAAAGGCTAACTTTATACACTTTTTTGAAAAGAGGTCCGTGATTTCACATAAGGGTGAAATGTAATTCAAAATGGCCGACTCTACTCAAAACAAAAAAATTCATTAAAAATCTATAGTTTGCAATAAAATCCTGAAAAAAATCACAAATGTCAAGGAACACATCTTGCATGTCCTAGATTTTTTTTAGATGATTTATTAAATAATTTAAAGAAAGAAAAATCTTTAAACTTGAATTCCATATACTGTGGCAGTTGAAAACCCCATAAGATGCTCAAACATGCATAGATTCACGCCAAACTCGGCAGTCTTTTCTATAATCAAAGGATAAATAACTGTTCCAAATTTGGGTAGGATTGCTATAAAACTTTTTGAGATACAACAATTTCCTGTTAACACAAACTTTTGAAAAATCAGAGTGACGGACTTTTAAGAAGAGCTATGCTGTGTTTACCATCAAACAAGTAGCGATTAGAGGAATATATTCCAAAAGTCCTAGCTCATTTGGGAAAACAACTGATTTTTTAAAAATATTTTAACATAGTGATTCTATTTTCATAAGGGTACCGTTTGATTCAAAATGGCCGACTTCATGAGAGGTTTAGACCATGGCTTCAATGAAACTTTTTGTAGGTGGAGAGCTCATACAGATGTGTGCCAAGTTTCATTATCCTAAGAATGAGCATGGCTAGGGGCTGAATTATTTCCTGGCATTATCTGTCCACTTGACCAACTATTAGGCGAGAACGCAAACTTTTGAAAAATCAGAGTGACGGACTTTAAAGAAGCGCTTTGCTATTGTAACCAGCTTACAGCAGGCCTTGTAAAGAACGTATTTTGAAAGTTTTAGCTCATTTGGATAAAAGGCTGATTTTATACAATTTTTTGAAAAAAGGTCAGTGCTTTCACAACAGAGTAAAATGAAATTCAAAATGGCCGACTTCCGGTGGGGTTTAGACCATGGGTCCAAGAGGCTTTTAGTTAGGGCCTGATGAGGTGCAAATGTGTTCAAAGTTTCAATATTCTAGGACTAAAAACGGCTTGGGGCTGGTGGTTTGAAGTTTGTTATTTCTAGGGGGCGCTGTAGGAAAATTAAGCCCCGCCCACAAAATATTGCTCTGGATTCCTGTTTGGAGTTGGACTAGGATCATCTCTTGTGATTTTGGTGCAGATCTGATTATAAATGAGGAAATGAGAGCCAATCGTATTTTCATGGCGAAACGCCTCACTTCGCCATGGCACCACGGCAACACCATTTGACTAAAGCTCTCTGTGCCTTAAACGAAGTTAGGACAACATGTTGTCTGTCTGCTGACACAGTTTTAGGTTGATGAGGTCAAGTGAGACAGAGAGGGACCATTCGAAGTAAAAAACATGACTTCCGGTTCTCAGGGGGCGTGGCTTCAATTATGTAACAGTTTTAACATACAGTTTTGTTGGGAACCGAGAGAGGATTAATACTACCAGGTTTCGTGTCATTTCAGTTTCATATGTAAAAGTTATTGCATTTTGAAAATGTTGGCGAGTACGCCAACTTCGAGGCCTGGCCACACCCCTTTAAAATGCTGGAAAACTCAAAAAGTTTGATAAGTTTGGATCTCACATGCCTTATCTGCATACATGCCAAGTTTGAAGCCGATGGCTCACCGTCCCTAGGAGGAGTTCGCGAAAGTTCGACGTCAACAAAATTGAAAAAGTGCCAAAAATCGGCCTTTGAGCCAAAATGGCCGACTTCCTGTAGGTT